ATTAACAATTTGTTTATTTAACCTTAACAGTGAACAAATTAATAAAACTACAAACAAACCGAACAATTCCCCCCAACTCCTAACTATTCCCTAACTGAACAAAATTCTACTAGTATGCCATTCCAATAAACACTTGTAAGTCCCACTTATAAACCCCAGTAGTAAGAAAAAAATAAATTAGAACTTTGTCTCTCAAAGTCCACAGAGAATGTGTCTTCTGGGATGCTTTGCCTTCTGCACTCTCTCTCCAATCATAAATATGTTTCCTCTGCTGGTCTTGCTGTCAAGAATGTTTTCTCTGTGAAGACTCTTAGCAAGAAGTGCCATGGTGCCTTTTATGGATAAGATGGTGCTTTCTTAGAGAGCTTAGTGATTTCTTATGAGAGCTAGGTGCTCATTTCTCAGATGGTGGTTTGCTCTCACATCAATTTTCAAAAACCCTCTTCTTATATACCTTGGATGACATATTAATTTTCTTACAATAGATTGGTCCAAGGTTGTCAAAGTCATCAGACTTAAATTCAATTGTCTTTCAACCACTAAGTGCTTGGTTTAAATTAATTGGCTGATGTCAGCTCATTGCCAAAATATCAAAACACGCCTAAGACTTTAATCACACAGCCAATGGATACATATTCCCATGTTACATGTTTCAGAACTGGCTGCTCCTATTGAGTTGCTTGCAGACATTTTTTTTCTGTATAAATCTCTAAGCTTAGAAAAGCACTTTATCTCTTAAAGGAATCATGCACTATTCTCTCATCATTTTTTTTAACGAACAAGTTCTGGCTTACTGCCTTCCAACTCACGATTACTCCACACAACTTTATAACAAGTTAGACAACAATGCATCTCGTGGAGATATAAATGTTTGTGGTGGAACCAATGCCAGCATTAACAGTATGAGAAAATGGTCAATGAGCTAAATTGTAGAAATGCGTATTAAGATCTTCAAGGCTATCAAGAGCGGAGTCAAAGATAAAGTGCTTGTATTATGTCAGAAGTCACTGGGATAATGTGCAGCAAATCAAACGCCACTGTTCTGTGAGTTGTTACAAATTTGAAAAGTTGATCAAACTACCAAATTGCCCAGTTTTATCTAATAGTCATATTCAGGTTATAAGAATGTACATACCAGATTTTTATCATTTACAAGATAATCACTATTGATTACAATCAAACAGTTTTAACCAATGGCAAGAAAGAAGCATAAATTGCGAACTTATTATTCTATAACTTAAACTCCAGCCCCTTTTTTAAAAGCCCCATATACCTATGAACAGGCACAGACAGAGACAAAACAAGACTAATATTATGAGTGTGGAAAGAACAGAAAAATCAGTGAAGCACAGATCTAGCACCAGTTTGGATTTCAGGCGTCGGACTTGTCCGTTAATTCACTTTTGATTCTTTGATAAGGACATGAAGTTGTAGACACATTGATTTTAAATCTTCCATTCATTGCTTGACTCTTTCAGTGTCTCTTAAAGTGGTTCACTGTCTTTTCTCATGAAAGAATTTTGCAGAGAGAGAGAGTAGCTAGCTGCTTAGACTTTTCATTTACTTCTGCACTCACAGAAGAGAGAGAGATTTAGGCACTTTCTCTTTCACAAGCTAGATGGTTCTACTGTATTCTCCAAACAGAAAGTTGTAGCTACTCACCCAAGCGCCAGTCAAGAAGCTATTGCTGTGCTGAACACTCCTCATTGCAAATAACAGGTACTGGTTGAAAAATCAATCAAAAGTCTTTGACTGTTCAAAACTACCCTGAACACACACATAGCCATCTAGAATTCTCCCCCACTGCTTGAATAAGGCCACGTTATAGGTACAACTCACAATGAGTTCTGGTGAATCGTTTTTAAAACTACAATGCCTTCCACAGTTCCTTGCCTTAAAGGAATATCTTTTTACATGTTACAATCAACAATCCAAAATGTCTACTGTTGAGTATTTGGAACATTGTAGGAGGCCAAGGACAACAAACATTTGCGAACGCGGGATCATAATGTTCACTGAATATTCACCCAATCTGTTTGGTCTCCCCAAAGTAGAAACTGTACTGTGGGAGGTAATAATAATATAATAAGTTGGAATGAATGCAGGCAAGCTGGCATATCACCAGCAAGGTGTGACTGGGGGCAAAATAGCAAAAATGGAGGCAATTAAAAGATATACGGTGCTAAATAGGGTTTTTTTTAATCCTAATAGGTGATGCTGTTTGTGACAACAAAACTGGACACAAGCTGTTTTCCTGAAGGGAAGGCTCGTCAATTAATCTGTCGGCATAATTTTCAAGTTATACATTCCCAAGGCTTCATTGTGGAGATCGAAGGCTCTTTCCCTTCTTTAGTGAAACTTCGAAGAGATCTTATGGGCTTTATTATACATCAACCAACACACGCAGTCTCCAACCAAAGTTATTCAGCCAATAAAAAGAGGTGTGAAAGAAATGAGGAATCTTTACAATCTGGAGCTTTCAGAATGCACAGGCTACCAAGTGCCCCTGATAGTGGCTCTGATTCATCAGCCTCCAGTGAAGAAGATAATAGTGCCAGCCAGCATGCCTCAAATATCCACTCAAGATCCTCTGAGCCAGAATTCCATGCTGATAAAAGCAATAGTTCCCCACTGCCTTTGGTTGCTTCTTCATCTTCTCTGCAGGTTGTCAATTCCAATAACAAAGAAGACACAGTTTCATATATCAATGGGGGCGTTCGTGACCCTCAGGCAGCAGTGAAGTATATGAGCACTTCTGCTGTGGAAAAAGGTTCCATTTCTAAAATGGATAATAGTAGCCTGAATGCATTTTCATCTCATGCTTCAAACAGTTCCTCTACACCTCCTTGTATAAGCTTTATGGTTGATAAATGGGCATTCAAATACCTGCAGACTATTGATGGCAATTGCCTTCGACAACTTCTTACGAAATATTCCACAGGCATTAACATAGTTTATGTTGATGAGCTGTGTGAGATATTCTTATCCCCAAACAAGACAGAGGACAACTCCCATAGAAATCTATTTGAAGCCAAGTCAGCAATTTGTGCACAAATCCAGAAGATACAACAGGAGCTAAGGATTCATCATGTAGATTTGACTGCAGAGTATTTGGACAAGAAGGAGGAGATACTGCGTAAGTGCAAGTGTGTTGATTCCATTTCATTGGGAGTTCTATTGGAAATACATGGTCAAACTGTAAGTGTGGTGGGACCATCCGTTAAGAGTTATAACATTCAGCAATATATTTTGGGGAAAGGTTTTTTGCCCTAAACGGGGCCATTGTCGGTGAGGGAGAAGTTTGAACAGGTCAGGAGGACACACTAAATGCAAATCTTCATTTTCTCCAACTTACAAGGAAGATCTATTGAATGGTTCCAACTCAAACTCTCAGCAATCAAAATTACCAATCAAACCAAGGCCACAAACCAGTGATCAGGTGAAGATCCTTTCAGGAAAGCCAAGTCCGGTTAATACCTGTCAAGAGCAACGGTCTTCATCAGAGACTAGGAAGACAGAGTCTCCAAAATACTTTGCACAAGATTCACAAACAAAAACAATTGGGCATTTTGAGACTCGAAGACCAAAGAACTCAGAATGCCCAGCAGCCTGTCGAAAGCTGACCCCAAATTCCGGACCCCATTTCTACAGAGGTAACGGGAGGAAAAACATGATTAAATATCCACTGTCCCACAGGTTTATCCTTGGTGGTTCATTTGCCCCTTGGCAAAGGAATTTCAAATTGGGACACAAAAGCAGAAAATGAAAATTGTGAAGTGTCAATTATTTTCTCTTGAGGGAGGGATATGCGTTCCTTCGTATTGGCTACACCTTATAAGTGCTTTATTGTCTGCAAAGAACTTTGGATCTCTTGAGGTTGTCACATTATATATAAATGCAAGATTTTTCACTTTTTCTTGATAAAGTAGCTTTTACCTTTGCTGACCCTGCAACGTGCTCTGAGGTCAGCGCTGTAGGGTGGAACTGCAAAAATAATGATGAGGCTATATTTTCCCCAACTCCTAATCATTAAAATATTTAATTGTCACATTTAAAATCTCCTGAATCAGTTTGGAAAGACAGTGGTGTGGTTGTAATGTGACTGGGCTGGTAATCCAGACCCCCAGATTAATACTCTGGGGATATGGGTTTGAATCCCACCAGGGCAAATGGTGAAATTTAAACTCATTTCTAAAAATGTCTGAAATTAAAAGTTAGCCTAATGATGACCGTGAAACCTTTGATTGTTGGCAAAACTCGTCTGGTTCACTAATGACCTTTTTGGGAATGAAATCTGTCATCTTTACCTGATCTGGCTATAAATGTGACTCCAAACCATCAGTAATGTGCTGGACTCTTAACTGCATTCTGAAAATGGCCCTAGCAAGCCACTCTGATCAGTGTCCAATACTGGCCCAATAACATCCCATGAAGAAATAAAAGACTTGCTTTCAACTGGTTTGTTCCCTATGGCACTTTATCTTGCAGCAGTGGCTCAACTGGGCTGCTGCAGTGCAATGGTTCAATCAATTAACAGAGAGTACATGAGTTCAAATCTCACTACAGCAGCTTTAGATTTTAAATTTCGATGTTTAAATATAAATGCTTTCAGGCTTTGGTTTTCATAGAGTGGCCATGACACAGCCATGTTATGATAAAAACTCAACTGCAAGAATTAATTCACTGATGACCTGAAATGATGGAATCCTGCTGACCCACCTGGTCCTGCCGAGAGGTGCCTTGTGGAAATGAATCAGGAGTGTTGGGGCACAGTGGCCTATCTCTAGGCCAGAAAGTCCAGGTTCAACCACCTTCAACCCCCACCAGAATTGTGTTCTATAACCTGTCCAAGCAGATTGATTTTTAAAAAAACATAAAAACTATTTGTGACTCGTGACTCAGCTCCCAATGTGTTTCGCTCTTAATTAGTATCTGAATCCATTCAGTTGAACTTGAAATTCATTCATAGTAGGTAGGCATTGCTGCTATAACCTGCATTTATTACCTGTCCCAAATTGCCCTTGAGAAAGTGTGGCTTCTCATTGAATTGCTGCAAACCACATATTGAAGGTACTGCCATAGTTCTGTTAGCTTAGGAGTTCCAGGGCTCTGACCCAGCTAACGAGTAGTGAATACTAGAAAATGTACAATGGTGTGAGAGTTGGAGGGTAAGTTAATGATGTGATGGTGTTCGTATGTATGTGCTGCCCTTCCCCTTCTAGGTGATCATTGGGAGGTGTCAAGCTTTGGTGAGTTGCCATGGTGCATCTTGTGGATGGTACACACTGATGTCAAGAGCAGTCACTCTCACCTCACCTTTTTAATCCATGTTTGGGCCAAGGATTTAATTAGATCTGGAGTTGAAGTGGTCCCGGCATGACCCAGTTTGGTCACTAGTGAGCAAGTTATTGTTGAGTAAGTGCTGTTGATAGTGCTGTCAATGATAGCTGACCTTACTTTGCTGATGCTCGAATTGTAGCTGATGGACAGGTAATGATTGGAATAAATTTTCCTTTTTTTTTGGGATCCAACATAGTCAGGAATTGTCCACAATGTTGGTACCAATGTTGTAGGTGTACTGGGACGTCCTGATAAGATTCATGGCTAATTCTGGAGCACAGGTCTTCAGCGCGTAGAGTTTTATGGGGCTGATAGCCTTAACTGTGTCCTCAGCTATTTTTAGATGCCATATAGGTTTGAAATAATTGGCTGAACATTGGCATTTTGATGGTGGGGAACCAGAGAGGAGGACAAGCTGAATCATTAACTATACACTTCTGGCTGAAGGTGATCTTAAGAATTCTCCACTCCAAACAGCTGTAGATGCTTAGCTTTGAACATACTCCACAATCAGGATCAATTCATATTTAGATTCTAGGGAGATCAAAGGTTTTGGTAGTCAGGGGAGAAGTGAAGTTACAATATCAGCCATCGTCTTATTACAAGTCGGTGTATGTTTTAAGGATTGTATGAACTACTGTTGTACCTATATCCAATCAATAAATACATCATACAAAAAAAATTTCTGACGTTTCTGACTTTACTGGTGCACTTTTGACACTCATCAACAAATAAAAGATTTTCAGTAGAATGAGATACGACCACGTTGATAATTTAATGTCTCTCTAAACTTTACACAACTCTCACTCCAAAAATGGACCACAGTCACTTTGACAACAGCCTGTTGCTCAGAGAAACAGAAGGCCTACCAAGTCCCTGCACAAAAGTTGTAAAATAAAAAGTGAGATGGCCAGTTAGGAGCTTCTCATGTTGAGACCAAAATTTCCAATTTTCCAACCATGTATTCGGCTGAGATTCAATTCTTGTTTGTGAGCTGTGAGTGGCCTATTTGCATGTAGTAGCATGCATTAACATCTCAGTATTAGTAATTACTGCCTCATTGATGTGTTGTTTTCCATGAGATAGAAACTAGATGACAATGATTCCCAAGATGAAAGCCAGGGTGATTCCCTGTTAATTCCAGCTCCCTATAGGTTCCTCCAGACCTTTGACTGGGACACCAGGCACCAACATGTCATGGCACATGACATGGGCACTGAGTGCATTCACTCTATGCTTATTTACCTTGGCATCCAACATGTAGCAGCCACACACCACACCCTCACGGCACATCTCCGATCTACTTCCAGTACTGTTTTCCACTTTAGTGCTGCAGTTTGGAGTGCACCAACACCTTCCATTGGAATCAGGATGCGTGCACTCATGGACAGTCCCCCATCTCATGGATTGGGATGTAGAGCATTTCAGGGCTGGCTTGCTGTTTTTTAGCACTCACTCACTTTGTGTCTACTTCAATGTTACCTTTGCCTTTTGGTGCAGACACAGAGCCAGACAGCAGGTCATGGTTGCCAGCAATACCAGTGACGAGGGTCGGGAATGTTACTGTACACTATTGCGTAACAACGATCTCTCACCTGCATCATGTTCCAGTGGCATATGCAATGAACACGTGCATGAAGCGAGGATGTTGGTGTATTGGGAATGTCACTGAACTAGCAATCGGGATTAATATTCTGGAGATGTCCCTTTGAATCCCACAATGGCAGGTGGTGATATTTGTTTTAAATTTGTTGAAAATCTGGAATCAAAAGCTACCATGTGACACTGTCGATTATTGTAAAAATCCATTTGGATCACTAATGTCTTTCAGGGAAGGAAATGTGCTGTCCTTACCCAGCCTGGCCTACATGTGTCTCCAGATGTACACCAATGTGGTGGACTCTCAAATGCCCTCTAAGCAACAAATGCTGACCTAGTCAGTGCTACCCACCTCCTGTTTAAGGATTAATAAAGACAAGTGGAATGAAAGTTGTCCTCAGTCAAGTCAAGGGAGATTGTCGTCAGTCAATCAGGGAGGCCTGGTGCAGGAAGTCAAGAGTAGGCTCTGTCATCAGCCCAGGGGTGTGGACACAGTAATCAGTTTGGGGTGGTCAGATTCAGGGAGTTCTGGATATGTACAGTCTCTGGATTGGCTGGTCGTCAGCCCTGGAAGTTAGTATGGGAAGTCACAGGAAGTCAGATGCTGTACAGAAACGTCAGGGATCTGGTCAGTTATCAGTTGGGTCTGTCCTGCTGAGTGCATCAAGGGGATGGGCCATGGTCAGTGTTGGAGTCACTGACAATGGGAAAGTCAATGGGGGGGTTTCTCAGGGACCACAGCTGGTGGGCAGAGGCTGGGGAACTTAATTGTGGGAATTGGAGGCAGATAGCTGGGATGCCAAAGGGATAACAATTGTGAAGGGGAACCACATAATATGCAAGTAGGCAAGGCCATACAGAATTGAAAGTAAAGGAATAATGCAGGAAAGGAGTGTCATTGACGATAAGAAACACTCTAGCATCGAGGTGGACTACGTATCTGGCATGTTGACTGGGGCTGGAGGGGTAAAGAGGGCAGATGAAAAGTTAGACGTGTGAGATAAGACTGTGTGGAGGCTCAAAGCTGATGGGGTTAAAGAGGAGTGCTGCCAAGAAAGAAATGAATACATTTAGGGGGCTCAACAAGAGTAAGAGGCTGAGATTCATTGTGTGAGCAGTGGTGGCTGCTTGGTCCCAATCATGTTGTAGCTATCAAATGCACAATGGGGCTGAATATGGCTGTGACCACCCCCAAAGTGAGAAGGCATGTGTTTCATTCTGGCCTAATCACCCCTGGGGTTGCTTGACCAAAACATCCAAGGCCAGCAGGCTCCACTATAGGGCCGGGTCTGTCATCCTAGCTGTGGACAGGACTACACTGAGATGTAGAAATGAAGAAAAGAAAGAACAAAACCTTTTGAAATCACATAGATAGCATGGACCACACAATGGTAAACGTGTTATTATAATTGTAAACAAATGTTTTTACCATTAGTAAATGAGGTGCATAAGTAAACGTGTGTCTAGCAGCTGCTACAACAGTGAAAGTAATCAGCTTTAGCACTATCTGAATGCTTTATGGTCCAAGGTGTGAAGTGAGAAGCAACTGCATCATGGGCATGATATGGGAACATATAAGATGTTCACAACTTTGCCAAACCAGGTGAATTTTTCCAAAGTGCATCACATTGCTTGTACATCACAATTATTGATCTTAGTAGGATAATAGGTCGGCACAACATTGTGGGCCGAAGGGCCTGTACTGTGCTGTATTGTTCTATGTTCTATGTTCTATTAATCGGGACTTGTTTGTAATATTGTTGATGTGTTCAGGAGAGCTTCGGGCAGAATTTGTACTCCATACAGTTGGTTAATGCCTCAGGTTCATATAAGGAAATAGAGCTCATTTTGCCCTTTGAAGGGCTTTACATCACTTGAAAGTAACACGCCTTCCCTGACAGAATGAAGCAAATACTCCACCTATAGCTTATAGAGTGAGTCTTCAACTGCCCTTTACCTGCCCTACTGCATGACCTCTAGTCCAACAGACGTTTGAGACCAGCTTAGGGTTAAACTATCAATGTAAAACAGGGGAGTTAAGATCTGCCATAGGGGTCACTATAAGATGGTTGTGAGCTCCCATGAACTCCAACCTTCCACTATAACATGATGTATAAGAGCTCCTCCTCTAGTACTGCATGCCTGGGTACATATTAAAGCTCCCCATACATTCTCCCATCAATTAATCCAGGTAATTTGCAGTTAGGGGTTTGATTTGGAAAAAAATATCCTTTACCCTGTCCCATTAAGCATTGAATAAAAACCAGAAGAACTGCAGATGCAGTAAATCAGAAACGAAAACAGAAATTGCTGGAAAAGCTGAACAGGTCTGGCAACATCTGTGGAGAGAAATGAGAACTCTGAGGAGGGGTTACTTGACCCAAAATGTTAACTATAATTTCACTCCACAGGTGCTGCTGTTGAGGCTTTCCAGCAATTTCTGTTTTCATTTCCCATTAAGCACTGCCAGATGTGGTACTTCATTGATTTGATACAGAATAAAAGTGTCTCTGCAATGTCCTAACAGGGATACAATACTCCTCTATGTTTACTTCTTTCATTATAATTTTCTGATTGATTTGTGTCACAGCTTTAACTTACTTCTGTGTTTAACATGAAAACAGGATGCTGCCACCTCACAACCATTGCCTTCAGTTGATCCAAATGCTTACAAACGGAAATGATAATGTCATTGACCACATGAAGTGACACAAAAGACTTGACAGGAAGTGCACCCACCTTAATACTATTCCTGATAACACAGTTGACGGTTTAAAAGAAAAAAAACCTGCCTCAGTTGTTTGAAGCGAACAACGACTGTGTGGGTCACATTTTGAGAAAATCAACCTTCAGGATTATGGAATAACTTTCCTCTGCTGGGTTGAATTGTGGAAAACTCCATTTTCTGTACAGAGCAGATACCTGCTCTGTCAGGTCCGTGACCTTACTTCATTTCAGTTGAATTGCCAGTGATTTTAATGAAGCTATACCAAAGTCTAGGTCTATAACAAGTGTGGGCCTGGTCTGATCATGGAACAAGGCAGGAGGGGCATATTGAACACTCCTGCTTTCTTCCACATTCACTTATTGGATACGGGAGTGTTGGGCAATTCCGTTAAAAAAAAATGAGCAGTGGCATTGGGCCAGGAATGCCCTGAATCAAAAATGTCCAAGGAAGAGCTGAGAACAACCCAAAGCACTAGGATTAGCAGAAACCAACTCATTCTTTGATTGTAAAAGGATATTTGGGACTCAGGACCTACTGGTCACTGCTTCCTGGGATGTCATCAATGGGAATGCCCTGTGAAGCCTTCAGCTGCACTCTTGTTTCTCTCTCAATATAAGGCTCTGCCAGCAGGCTAACTTATGCTTGCTGGGGACTATGGATAAGCAAAAGGCTTAGGCAGAGTATTCAGACTGTCTGGCATGAGAGAGAATAAAAAAATCATCCCTCTGACATTGTCAGGTCTATTGTACTTTAGTGATGTATTGTATGGCCCCTCCTTGTCTTCTGTGACTTTTCAGTCATGCCCATTTCCATGCCACTGCTCCTTTGAAGTTTTACTCCTATGTAGCCCTGCAAAGAGTCTCTTGGAATGGCTACTCTTTCTTTTTGTGCATTAGCAGCTCAGGAGACCCATAAGAATCCTCCTTGGCCCTTTGTTTTCTCTACATGTTGTCTCTTGACACTATCAACAACCAGCTCTCTCTCTCTCTCTCACACACACACACACACTCTCTCTCAACCTACCATGATCCACGTCCATCAAGCTATGAATGAGTTGGTCACTCAGACAACAGATGGAACAGGAATAGGCGATTTGGCTCTTCAAGCCTGCTTCACCATTCAATAAGATCATGTGCATGTGGCCTTAATTCTATTTTCCTGGCTACCTTCACTAATCCATAAGTCCCTTGCCAATCGAAACATTTACTATCTCAGTCTCCACTGCTCTCTTGGGAAAAGGACTCTAAAGATTGATGACCCTCTTGGAGGAGATTTTCCTCCTCATCTCTCTTTTAAGTGGGATACCCTTTATTTTCAAACTGTGCCACCAAGCTCTATTTTCTTCGTATT